GGGAAAAAAATTTCACGAAAATAAATTGTCTCGCACAACGAGTCTGTGTGCAAAATGTCAGCTCGATTGGATTACGGGAAGTGGGTTAAAAAACTACAGAAAGATTTGCACGCTCGTAAGCGCGCAAGCAAGCAAGCAAGTGAACTTAATATAAAGGATTTAAAAAGAAGCAACGTAGCTCAGTGCGCCTTACCGAGGAAGAATACAAAATAGTTGGCAGTAAAGAGGTAAAGATGCTACCGTGCAATTGCTTGCCCTTGCCACTGCGGGCGAAAGGGCCCTCCACCGGAGGGAGCTCTAGACAGCCACTCGTATATATAATAATGGACAGATGTAAAGTTAATTTCCCCACCCGGATAAATGTATATTATTTTGTACAATTGCACCAATTATACTGTGCAACGTGGATTTGGTCAGGTTGCCACCCTGTACGACTTTCCCCGGGATTGCCCTCTTTCGGAGGCAGCCGTCAAAAACTCGGGTTGCTACCCCCGAACGGGTGTCACCGTCCAGGATTTGACGGCTGCGTTCAGTTGGCAGACATTGATTGGCTGACCGAGAAACATGCCCCAGTGTGGTCTACTGTGGAAAATGTGACAACCCAATTTGTAAGTGTTCCCGGGACGTTTCAAGTCCTGGTTCTTTTCAGGTGCAGAGTAATAGCAGTACCCCACTCAAGACGACTACGCATTTCCGCCCGGTACCATGAGATCCTCTTCCTCCCAAGGTTTTATTCCGTGCTCTGCCTTCGTGGCTGCCAAACCCTCCATCCTTCTCTCCTCTCTGCCCTCCGCTTCATTTCCACAATCTGTGCCCCTCTCCTGCAGCCTTCCTCTCGTGCTCCTCATCCTTTTCCACCACGGATGAGTGTCCTCGTTCGTCAACCCGTCCCTGCATACGAGCAGACCGCGTCCTCTCCTCGATGATGTGTCCTCGTTTTTTGTGGCACAATCAGACTCCGGTCCTACGTGAACCCTGCAGCTGACCCCCCCCCTTACCCCTCCCCCCTCCCCACAGTCCTCACAACGTCACGGAGCTGCGATGCCTGCGGACGTGGCGCTCGGTTCCACAAATGTTTAACGAGCAACAGCAGCTCGCCCGCTCGTCAGCCAGCCCCGCCCACACACCTGCCAGAGCGCCCGTCGCCACGATTGGCTGGTCACCTCCCCCCCCCCCGCTTCCTCCTCCCCCCACTACCACCTCCACCGCCCCCCACCGGATCGATCGTCTTATCGGTCTGGCCGTGGCAAGCCGCCAGGGCCACTATGACGACTCCCATGGTGAGCGGTGCCTGGGGGTGAGGGGTGAGGAGGGCTGGAGTTGGGGGGGATGGGACAGGGCAGCATGAATGAGGGGGGCTGCCAAATGGCCTATAAAGGGAAGAGTCTCAAGGTGTTTTTTTCTTCTTCTGCTGCTCCCGCCCTCAGTCACCGGCATACCGCGATTTTATGGCCCTTTTTGTTTCGGCCGCGGCTACCCTTACCGCGAAGCGCCTGCCGCGCGGACGCGTGGCTCCATTCGGGGGTCGAGGTTTTCTCCATTAGACCGCGCGGCGCGGTTGTGGAATTATGGTGAACTCAAAAAAAGCCAGAAGTGAACAAAAATTTCAAAAAGAATTGGCCCCAAAAAAGCCGCCCGCCGGTTAAACTCTTCTGGTGGCCTCCTCCGAGTCTTCTTCTTCTCGTCGTTGTTATTGTTGGGAGCCGGCAAACAGCCCCGCAGCTTCTGCCGTGGACTTCTTAAGCCGTACGGCGCTTTGTTCCAGGAGACCGGTTCGTTCGAACCCTTGACTTCCGGCCCGCAGCTTTCCAGTCGAGACTTTCGCAAAGGTTCCCGGTAAAGAACGCGGCGATAAGTCAGCGTCGCGTAAGGCCAAAGGGACCAGGTGAACTTGTCCCGCCCCCACTGTTGCGGCACAGTTGGAGAGTGACTCACCGGCCGGTTAACGATTAACCACGGCTCTGCGGCCCCCGGCCCGTGGGTGTTCCGTAAAATGTTGGGGGGGGGGGGAAAACAAAAAAACCCACCACCTCGCTTCGTCCGCCTCCTCCTCCTCCACGCGCTCAAAGCGAAGCGATCGGGCGAGGTGCAAAGATGATTTGCGAGAACAAAGCCGGTCTTTGACGGCGCCGCGTGGCCACATCCATCATCTCCCACGTGTACAGCCGCCGTCCCGCGCCCCCCATTGGACTTCTGTCCGTGCCGCGCCCGCGTCCGCGTGGGGGGCTTCGCGTATTTATTTGCGGGCCCCATCGATCGCGCTCCGATTGAACCGCCGGACCTGGGGTGTGGCCACCGCCGCCACTGACACCGTCGTTTTTTTTTAATCACCGCCAACGTGAAAGCGCGAAAGCCCGACACCGCTGGTGCCGAGTTTGCGGCGTTACTCGCTGGGCAGCGCTATCGGCTGCCTGTTGCGCGCGTCGTGTTATCGGCTCCGCTGGGAACCCTTTATTTTTAATATATATTTTTATTATTCTTGCCATTAAGTCGTCACTTGTTGCCCGCCTTGCGGTCACCGGCGGACCGGCTGGTCATGCGAAAAGCGCGCGCCAGCTATCGAAGCCGGGGCCAAGCTCGGTGCACTTCAGCTAAAGTCCTTGTGCGGTGTGTGTGTGCGTGGGGGGGAGCGGTGGCGCAACGGTTAGCGCGGCTACGCTACAAACCCGCCAACTCTAGGTCGATTCCCGCTTCACGGCCACCAGCAAAGGTGACGATTATCTGAACCGGTCCTGGGCGTCCCCTAGGTCGACTCAACCTTAAATTAGTACCTGTTTTACAGATCGGCACTCGGGAGGCAAGAGTGGCCGAGAGTGTTGCTGTCCATCTGCCCCCCCCCACCCCGTGTGCCGTGTCGGCCTTTATAGGTGCTTGCTATCAGCACTTGCCCCTACAGTCTGTTCAGGCGATACGTGGGGACCATTGACTTTGTGCATGCACGTGCGACTCTGTGATTGCGTTTGTGTGTCTGTCTGTGCCAGAGCTGTAAGTGAATGCCCGGCATCTGAGTGAATATCCACAGAATAAATTAAACACAGTCTGAAGGAATGGCTTGAGAAATATCCCGTACAGGAAGGCCTTGATCCTAACATCTTTGAGAAAGGACACGGGCCATAGAGAGAGAGAAGGGACGGCCACGCTTTCAACACCACTGAGTTGCTGGTCTCAACAAAAATACGACCACACGTCCAGTACGAGTTGGTGGTCTCGACAAGGCCGAGAGCATCGTGCGTGCATTGTGGTGGTGCCTTCCTGCTGTCTGTGAGCAGGGCACCTCTGCGTGGTGCACTGGCACATATTAACTATACTCAACACGTCAGTCAGAGGAAACTAAACTAACACTGTGCTCAAGAGGACGATATATTAAAGAGGCGACGTTTCGGGCGCTGACCAGCCTTCGTGTCAGGGACAGAGGGCCAGAGAGACCTAGGGAACATGTATTTTGAGAATGTACTATACACAATGGGGCTCTGACAGATATGTAAGTTTATTAAATAGAAAAAAATCACTTTGAAATGTCAATCAGGGCTTGCGTGTGGAGTAAGCATCGTGACAAAAATAACGCGGCTACAACGCACCGAAGCTAGCACAGTGGCAAGCACATCCGGCTGTCACCCCACGGCGCCCGGGTCTGTCCCGTGACCTGCTGCCAGCAGCGAGCCTTCGACGACTTCACGTGGCTCAGCCTGGCACAAGCACCGCGGTGAGGTCACTGCCACTTGGTGGCGAATGGTTCTTTTTGCTGTTGCGTAGGGAGCAGCGACGGAGCGGTGGGCGCACTGCGCTATGAACCCGGAGACCCGAGTTCGATTTCCGCTCACGGCTTACTACATCGGCGTCGAACATCTAAACCGTTCCAGGGCCCTCCCTTATGCCCACTCAGCCGTAAGTGAGTAAGTCACCTGGTGTGGAGAGAAAACATCACCGCTGGGGAGACAAAGGTGGTCTGGCCAGGCTATGCAGAGGGATTTTAGTGTGTGTCGTGGTGTCCCTGTTATTGTGCTGCGCTACGAACCCGGCGACACAAGTTCGATTCCCGCTCATGGTCAACACCAGTGACGATTGTGTGAACCGTTCCTGGGTCTCCCCTCGGTCGACTCGGCCTCAAATGAGTTCCTGGTGCGGTGTGTAAACATCGCCACTGGGGAGACAAAGGCGGCGCGGGCGTAGTGCTGGCCACCCACCCCCTCGTGCGCCGTTCCGGCCTTCGTAGCTGCTGCTCGCTTAACAGCACTTGCCCCCAAAAGTATGTTGAGGCTATATACAGGTTGGATCTGTGTCTTTGTTGTGTGTGTCCGTGAGTGTTTCTCGGCTTGCTGGGCTGCAGCTATTAATCTATGGAAAAGGTTTTAATGTGTTTGAGTAAGGCAGGCTCGGATGGCGTGCCCTATCGATGGATAAGGAGCTCGGTGGTGGTGGGGGGGGGAGGGGGGGCAGGTTTGACTTCCCATTTCGCAAAAAAAAATTCTCGTGTTGGCGAGGAACGTTCGCGAGCGCGTAAGGGTTCTTTTTTTTTGCGAATTTTTTTTTATTTGAACGTGGCCACGTCTCCTATTCACATGCGTCGTGGAAAACCGCCGAGCCCGATGCGTTCTGCGGGGGTTTTAGCTTGTGCGTGTGTGTCCATGTCCTCGGGAATCGCTTCATAGACTGTTATCGCAATGCAAATGCAGATGGTAGTTTGCTAAAGGAAGTCCCAAAGTCTTCTGCTTTGAATATCTGTTACTACGAGAGTGTGTCAATAATAACAATAATTAATTACCGGCCTTTATCTATCCACAACTAGATTAAGGATTGTCCCCGTTTAGAATGTATGTTGAACTTTTTTAGCACCGTAAGTAACCAACCTTGCTCAAATGCGTATTTGACCATACTTCACCAATAATGGTTAGGTGCCGGTTGGTTAAAAAGTTAGGGGGAAGGTGTGGGAAGTTCAGGACCGGTTAAAGTTTCACTCACCGCTGCGGCGCTAATCACTGCACCTCCTCTCCTCCCCACAGCTCTCCGTGGTGATTTTGGGTCGTGCCACGCGTTGATCAGGCACGACGTCCGACGTTTCCCTCCGCATGCCGGAGGCTTCTTCAAGAACTGAATTCAGTGCTTTCCGGTACGTGGGGCGAAACGTCGGACGTCGTGCGGAATAAACACGGCAGCTCAAGCCGAGAAAAGTCAATTGAACGTGGAATCGGAATTCGCGGAGGCGTTAGGAAACTGAATTTGACGCGTCGATTTGTCAGATCGCCGGGGAAGTTGAATCGTTCCAGCGGTTCCGGCAGGGCCAATTGAATTGGATGCGCCATCAAAATGCCATCGGGCAGTCGTCTAGCACCACCAGCAGACGACCCATTGCACAAAGACAAAGATCCTCCCCATTAAGGCCTTAACAGACTGTTGGGGCAAATGCTGTTAGCGAGCACCTGTGAAGGTCGGCAAGGCAACACGACGGGGTGCGTTGCCACCGCCGCGCCCGGCCGCCTTTGTCTCCCCAGTGGCGATGTGTACACACCTCACCAGGTACTCATTTAAGGCTCAGTCGACCTAAGGAAGACTCAGGACCGGTTCAGATAATCGTCACTGTTGTTGACTGTGAGCGGGAATCGAACTCGGGTCACCGGATTCATTGTGCAGCGCGCTAACCACTACACTCCCAATCCCCACCTATAAAACACACGCAACAAAGATCCCCTGTATAGCCTCATTATACTTTTGGGAAAAGTGATGTTAGCGAGTAGCGCATTACCCGCCCATATTAGACATCTGTAAAACAAAACGGGGCTTCAAAGCTCATCTGATTCCTTGAGTCTAAATACAGATTCCATTTCTGACGAAGGCCGGCATGGCACGTGGATGGGTAAATTGCCAGCAACACGCCCAGGGCCGCCTTTGCCTCTCCCAGTGACGATGTTCACACGCCACACCAGGCACTCATTTAAGGGCGAGTCGACCGAGGGGGGATGCCCAGGACCGGTGCAGACAATCGCCACCGGTGCCGACCGTCAGCGGGAATCGAACTCGCGTCGCAGGGTTCGCAGCGCAGCGCGCCACAACCGCTACACCACAACCGCTACACCACCACCACCGCCACCACGCACGCGCACGCACGCACGCGCAGAGACGCGTGCGGGAATGCGTTGGAATTCGGAGGAATCCCCCTCGGGGCGCTTGTCGCCCTCGCCGCCGCTGTGGCTCGTCCCGCTCGGCACGGGTCGGACGGTGCCGGCGCTTGAGCCGTCGCCGATCCCCCAGGAACGTAGCTCGCCGTTCTCGGAGGTAACCAACGTGCCCGGGACCGGGCCCCAAAAGCGCGCTGTCTTTCTCTCTCTCTCTCTTCAATCAATGTGCGTTTTTCTTTTTTTTTTAAAGCGGGATGGCTTTAGCGGTTTGACAGTTCCGCCAGAGAGGATCAAGCCAACGAGCGCGCTCGCCTCCTAATTCTTGCATCGCAACGACGGCGGCCGGGCAAACAACACCGTGCGTCCATCCGGCTCGCAACAACAAAAGAGAGAGAGGGCAGAATACAAAAAAGCGTGAGGGCAAACACAGGTGGTGGTGTTCCTCCTGCAGCAGCAGCAGCAGCAGCCAACCTCGCTCCCTCCTCCCTCCCTCCCAGGGTAACAGCAAACACGCCGATGTGCAACACTCGCTCCCTCACTGCCTCCCCTCCCTCCCACTACTACTAGCACTACTAGCCCCCTCTACCACTACCCCCCCCTAACTACTACCCCCTCTACTACTACCCCCCACTACTACTACCCCCACTACTACTAGCCCCCGCTAATCTTGCGACACGTCTCCACACCGTTAGCAAAGCTGTCGAGTGTGCCGGCAGTGCAACTGCACCAGAGCCCACACAAGCACGTGCTGTTTGGTAGGAAGAGAGCGAGGGGGGGGGCAAATACCAGACAGGGGAAGCCCCCCCCCCCCTCCAGAGCCCCCCCTCCCCCTTTCACTCGTGGCACCAGGGCCCTTGCCAACCGCGCCACTGGGTCGTGCGCATGCGGACCACGTGACCTCGCAATCCGTGCTGCGACAGCGACGGTGCATTCATTATTCGCGTAAGTGTCAAACCGTCGACTTATCCCATAAAAAAACCGTGATTATTGAAACTTAAGAAAATTACCTTTAAGATGACAAAAAATTCATTTAATTTGGTCACGTTTTAATTTGACCGCGTGGTGGCCCGATGTCGGAACCTGCCCCTGCAATCGTCCACGCCCCTCTGATGAGCGCGATTGGCTCCTAGCGGTGTGAAATAAGTTCCGCATACACACACAGGCCGACTTGCATTCCTCTCGCACACCCTTAGCACGGACGGCCAAGCCGCCTGTTTTTTTTGGCAAGCCGATGAGACCCAGAAGGTTGAAACCGGCCGAGAAATTATCTTTGCTGAAGCACATTCAGCAAAGGATAGCGCCGGTCGTCTGGGATCCCTGGAGGACCAGGACGGAGCTCTGTTTACGTTTCAGGCGACGCGCTCTCAACTCTCTCTCTGCACACTCGCCCGGTTTTTGTTCGAGAGTCGCACGCGTTGTTAACTCTGCCCGAGCTGTTTTGTTAACGTGGGTTTTTTTTACTTTCACCCCCCCTCCTCTCTCCGTGTATGTGTTCGCGTGGTGATAATAACTATGAATAGGTGGCGGTCGCTCAATATTATTTTTGGCCGATTTGAGATCGGGAATTGAACTTTCACACGCGGGGGGGGGGGGGGGGTTTCCCGGTCCACTCAAACAAAAATTGACCGTAGTCGAACATTGCCCATCTGTTGTTCTATTCTGGCGCGCGATGGCAGCGATGTGGTTTAGGAGCTAAATGCCAATGTCGAGGTCTCTGCTGTTAGCCACGACGAGAGGGCTTCAGCAGATAGAGAGTTCGCGTCGTTTTGCTGGCTTTTCTGGTTTTTTTTTTGCGACACGGTCCGTAGTTTGGGTTGCATGGCCACAATTGCACTGCGTCTTGTCTGTTGTTGTTCCATTCATTGAAGGAAAGTGCGCATGTTGGGCCGTTGATGTCCCGCTGCGGTTGATGAAAATCTTGATTTGAAGCTTTCGTGACTGCAGGAATCCATACTCTTCGGTTCTTTCGGTAAAGTCACGGAGGTATAAAAATATAATAAATCACGACGTTTCGGGCGCAACACAAGCAAGCGTCCGTCATCTTGACTTGAAACTTTCGTGACCGCAGGAATTCAGAAAATATTTTCTCTGAACCTATCTACGTGACTTTACCGAAAGACCCAAAGCATATGAGATTACGCCAGTGTCTTCGAGAAGGTTGCGATGTTTGGCGTCTCCAACGACGATGGTGTTCGTTCTGGACTTCCACTCGGATGGCAGCCAAGCGTTTGTACCGGACCTTTGTGAAATTCGAGGATGGTGACCATGGCACGATCCCAGAAGCGGCATCGGGAATTGAGTCGGTGGCGAGGAGGTGACAGCGTTTGAGGTCTTGTTTTGGTGGGAGGCGGTGGCGCCTTCCTGCGGTGGGCCACCTGCTGCGTGATATCACGAAGACAAAGATCCCAGTGGCAAGTGCTGTTATCGAGCAGCACCCATGAAGGGGATGGATGGGTGGCCAGCACCACGCCCGACCGCCTTTGTCTCCCCAGTGGCGATGTTTACTACACACCGCACCAGGTGCTTATTTGAGGCTGAGTCGGCATGATGGGAAGCCCAGGAACCAGTTCAGATAATCGTCACCTGTGTTGGCCATGAGCGGGAATCCTAGTCGGGTCGGCGGGTTCATAGTGCGGCTCTCTAACCGCTGTCCCACTTCTCCCCGCGCAGTATTATGGGGGGGGGGAGAGGGGGGGGGAGAAACGGTGGCTTGTTGTTGCTCAGAGCTGGTATCTCGATTGCAGGCGATGACGCAGAGCGTCCCCCCCCCGTGCTTCAAACACATGAACACCTGAACACGCGCGCACACACCCAACAGGCAAAGATCCCCCGTGTAGCCTTCGCAGACTGTTGGGGCAAGTGCTGTTTATCGAGCACACCGGCACGGTACGCGAGGGTTGTGGGTGGCCAGCATCACGCCCGGCCGCCTTTGTCTCCCCAGTGGCGAGGTTTACACACCGCACCAGGTACTCATTTGAGGCCGAGTCGACCCCGGGGAGGCCCGGGACCGGTTCAGATTACAGTAATCGGTTGTGGCCGTGAGCGAGAATCGAACTCACCACCTACCTGAACTCACCTACACTTACACAACAACAACAACCACCATTCGCCACTAAGTGGCGGTGACGTCACCACGGCGGTTTTGCCAGGCTACGTGCACGATAAAGCTACAATCACGCGCACAATCACGTTCACACGTACACACCTTACACATTTATATGCCTGCGCTTAGGTAATCCTGAACGCCCTCGCAGGAATCAAACTCAGGTTGTCGGGGTTTGCCACTCGTGGTAACCACTACGCCACCGCCCCCCTCCACACAGACCCCACCCGTCAAATGCAACCTCACACTATCACGTACACACGGCTCCACCTCCATAGTGACACAGATGCAGATGTGGTCTGCGTCTGCGTCATCGGAAAGTAATTTAATTGATTAATTTCTGAGCCTTTGTAGATGAGTGTGCGCGTCCCAGGGTACGACGTCCACGTCATTCGGAGGAATTTGTTTCACAAAGTCCACGTTTCACTCCCGACTTGAAGGCCATAACAGAAACTGGAAAATGAACGCCCGTGTTAAGTGAGCACGATGGACGGCTTCTCTTTAGACCGTGTACCTAAATTCACGGACTTTTGTATCTCGTACTTTCCTGCGAAGCCACGGGCAGGAATAGAACTCAGTCTCACTAGGTTGATCGCTCCATCGTGGGCGTATATGTGTACAGGTGTGTGTGTGTGATGTGAATGAAGGGGAGCGGTGGTGTCGTGGTTAGTGCACTGCGCTACGAGCACGGTTACCCGCGAATATCTCAACCAGTCTTGGGCCTCCCCTAGGCCGACTCAGCCTTAAATTAGTACGTGGTGCAGTGTGTATACATCAGCACTTGGAAGACAAAGGCAGCTGGGCGTGGTGTTGGCCACCCACCACCTCGTGGTTCGTGCCGGCCTTTCATAGGTGCTCGCCAACAGCACGTGCCCCACAGTCTGTTAGGGC